AATTTGGCCAATTTCACGAAAACTAAAAAATATGACAATTTAAAAATAAGGTCTAGAATGAACAATGCAGACATTCCTAGCTCTAAAATAACATTTTCTTTGCTCATCAGTCATGTCTCCAGGCCCCTCTGATATTACTCTTGCTTTTTATTTTGAATTTTTATTCAAACAAAAAATAGAAGACTTACTATTATGCAGACTACTGCAATATTGTAATAATTGTATAAATAACATCAACCCATTCATGACTGCATATTAGAATGGCTAGTTGGACATTTATTGGACAATGGCATCATTTGTTTACTTTTGAACATTGGCAAAAATCAAACATTTCCACTACTTTGAGCTCCATTTCTAGGTTCTTTTTATAGTAAAATCAATCAAAATCACCTCTATTTCTATAATATGTTTTCCATTCTATCAAATGAGACCAAGAAAACGAGAATACAACCATAAATACTATACGAAAATAGACCACAAAGTCGGCATTTTAATTAAAAAAACGGTTGGAGTTTTTTTTCTCATTATGCACTGCGTGCTCCAGGATTTTTTTTATATGGTGCACACTGACCACCAGACCCATTCTCTCACATGTGGGCCTACCAGCTTTCTCCTGCTTGATTTGAAGCCGCTAGAATTTATGAGTATATATACGTCAAACACGGTACCTCGTAAGATGTATATATACGGCCGCGACAGTCAAAGGGTTAATAAGAGAGCTGACTGTATACACAGGAGCTTAGTAAGAGAACTGACTGTACACACAGGAGCTTAATAAGAGAACTGACTGTATACACAGGAGCTTAATAAGAGAACTGACTGTATACACAGGAGCTTAATAAGAGAACTGACTGTATATACAGGAGCTTAATAAGAGAACTGACTGTATATACAGGAGCTTAATAAGAGAACTGACTGTATATAGTCGTGCAGTCCACATGAACATTACAAACTGTATGTTAAAACAGTCATACAGTCACTCAGAACAAGAGACTCATAAGAGGTAATGTTTAATCCAAGGAAAGGGAGTGTGGCTCTGATACCCCAGATCAGGAGCCCCTGGAAGAGTAGCACGACCCACTAAGCATCATCATTCAGGAATTATCCTCACTGATAATAATCATACCCACCATCATGCATATAATCATGCCCACAATCATACCACAATCATGCCCACAGTTGCACAATCATACAATTATATTCACAATCAATCATGCCCACAGTCACACATTAATGCCCACAATCATACAATCATCTAATTATTCCCACAATCATACAATGCTATTCACAATCATGTCCAAAATCATACAACCATGCCCACAATCATCCATTCACTTACAATCACTTTCAATCAGTCTCAATAATGCCCACATACTCACAATCATACAATCATGGGTAAATCTACCCATTATTGAGGAAAGAAATGGGCTGGTTGTTATTGTCTGAAGAAGTGTCAGTACAGTGTATGATAACTGTATATAACAGTATAAATGTGTGTGATAAGTATGTATAACCTAGAATATATCTGGAGGGCATTTCAGGGGTCAACGCTCCCACGGCCCAGTCCACAACCAGGCCTCATTGTGGATTAGGGCTTGATGAACCAGGCTGTTACTGCTGGCCACACACAAATCAATGTACGAACCACAGCCTGACTGGTCAGGTACTAAGTGCCTGTCCATCTCCCTCTTGAAGGCACCCAGGTGTCTATTGGTAATCCCCTTATGTATACTGGGTGGCTGTTAAACAGTCTTGTGCCCCTGACACTTACTGTGCCGTCTCTCAGTGTACCCGTGGCACCCCTGCTTTTCATTGGGGGAATATTGCATCTATTGCTAAGTCTTTTGCTTTTGCAGGGAGTGATTTTTGTCAGCAAATTTGTGACTAGTCCCTCTAGGATTTTCCAAGTGTATATTATTGTACATCTTTCTCGCCTGCATTCATGGGAGTACAAATCAAAGGTCTTCCAACTGTTCCCAGTAATTTAGGTGATTTATTGTTCTTATACATGCCATGACAGTTCTCTGTATATTCTTCAGGTCTGTAATTTCACCTGTCTTGAAAGGCATTGTTAGAGTACAGCAATATTCCAGTCTAGAGAGAACAAGTGATTTGAAGACAATCATCATGGGCTTGGCATTCCTAGTTTTGAACGTTCTCATTATCCATCCTATCATTTTCCTGGCCAATGTGGTAGATACATTATTGTGGTGTTTAAAAGTCAGATCCTCTGACATTATCACTCCCAGGTCCTTCACATTTTTTTGTTCTAATGTGTGGTTGAGTTTTCCATAGAGTAATGGAAATTAGTCTTCACTTAACTTCATATTTTTTTCAGAGGCCCTTTTAAAGACTTGTTTAACCTTTGAGGGTCCAGAGGCCAAATCTTGGAGTGGCACCCAGGGTCCAAGAATAAAAAAAAAAAAAAAAAAAAAAAATCTTATAGAATTAAAGATAATATTTTCTAGAGGTAACAAAAAAAAAATTCGATCAGTACTTGCCAAAATATAGAGGCATGAAGTTGACCTTCAATAACCAGGTGGCGGCAACATCGGCGACTTCCATAAAGTCACATTTTTTTAATTTTACTTATTTTGTTACTTTTTTCTTTTCTAGTATTTTTTTTAGTAACATTCGTGGCCTGTGAGACCAATATAATGCATAATGTATATACGTACACTCGTATTCAACACAATAACTGCACTAATATTTTCATCATTATTTTGTTTACAAAACTTGTTTAAAACAAAAAATATGCAAAAATGTTGTATATTAGTAAAGTTCTATTAAATATTTACATATGTACAGTCACTAGACATGTTGCTAGAACTGCTCTACAGACTGTGAAAGTCTTTGAAACAAGGTGTCATGAACAGCGGTGTCTTACTCATCTGTGGACCAGTATTTTATATTATGCTTATAGACATGAGACATAAGCATTATTGTTGCAAAAAAAAAAAACAAATACATTTCAGCTACAGTTGTCTCCTTCCACCAGTGTAGTCTTGACTGTGGTGATATTGTATTTGTCATGATATAATCAAAATACTTGTTACTTTCCCTGACAACATTTTCCATCAAGGGCTGGTCAAAGAATAGTTTAAACATTGGCAGTTCACTTGCAGTGTTTCCAAGGGAACAAGATGGCAGGAATCCACTTTGAGTGTCATCAAACCGATGGGGATTGGGAACAAAATTGGAATTTTGCTGCCAATCCCAGATGTGGTTTGCTGGTGGGTACTGGACTTCATAAGCTGGTTCTGGTTGTAGTTGTGGTTGTGGTTGTGGTGTGGGGGCTGGATGATGATGTGGTTTGTCCTGGACCTGCTAAGTCAGCGGCTTGGGTCCCAGCCTGGACTGGTGCCGCATGCTTGTGGTACCACCACCACATACTGACGCATGTGGTCTATCCATCCCAACTGTAGCCACATCATCTCACTTTCACTGTCTATTCCAGGTGTAGGGCCACTGGATGTACTCCGTCCCCTTAGAACTGTATATGGTACACACCAACCAAGCACACGTGGCATCATAGGTACCGTATTTCATGACTTATAAGACTTTGTTTTAGTTTCAATGGCTGGGCATCAGACAACTAGGAGAGCTACAGCCCACCCCACACTTGTAGCTCCCGTCACTGACCTTCAGTGTATAGGACGCAGGGTGGTTTTTGGAGACATGTTAAGGGAAAAAAAAGGCGCGTCTAATCAGCTGTGAAATATGGTAAGAAAGTTTATTCAGGTAAACAAAAAATACAATTACATGGATTATCATACATAGCATACGTGTAGAGAACCTAGGATAACCCAAAAAAGTCAAGACGCTTTAGTGGTGAATATGATTCCTCACTATCGCTACTTGAATGGTCTTAAGCACTGCTTTCGTCACAAGATGTTCAAAACCATAGAATTCCTCTTCAGATCCACTTCCATCAGTGTTAGAACTATCACTTGGGAAGAGGAGTCCCAATTTGCCTGGGAGTGAGCGCTTCCTTGCCGTGAGGCATGATGAACAAAGCGTACTGAGATGGTGTTTCTACAATGCAATGCGGGTGCCCTGATTTTTTGTTTACTGCACACAATGACCACGCAGACCCATTCTCTTAGATGTAAGCCTACCAGCCTTTTCGTGTTAAATCTGAAGCCACTAGAATTGTGGTGAAGTTCTACAGCTTAGACCCTGGCTTCAAAGCCGAACAACTACAGGACGGACCCTCAAGGGATTAATGTCTGCTTTGAGATTTGCAGTGTCCTCGATGGAGGATACTATCATGCAAATTCTGGTATCAGCAGCAAAGGAAGACACGTTGCTGTGGCTTACATCTCTGTCTATGTCGGACATGAGGATGAAGAACAGGATGGGAGAGAGTGCCGTACCTTGTGGAACAGAGCTTTTCACTGTAGCTGCCTCTGACTTTACTCTGTTTACTATTACTCTTTGTGTTCTATTTGTTAGGAAGTTATAGATCCATTTACCAAGTTTTATTATTCTTTTGTTATGCAGTATATAACTGTGTATAACAGTGTTTGATGACTGTGTATAATAATAGTGTACAAGATAGTGTATAATAACAATGTGTAAGATAGTGTATTAATGTTAATGTGTGTTTATGTCAAGATGGCAAACAGACCAGAGAAAGAAAATGGAAGAACAAGAGAAAGTGGAAGAACAAGAGAAAGTGGAAGAACAAGAGAAAGTGGAAGAACAAGAGAATGTGGAAGAACAAGAGAAAGTGGAGGAACAGGAGAGAGTGGAAGAAATGGAAAAGGAAGAAAACAGTGAACAAAACAGAAAACAGTGAACAAAACAGAAAACAGTGAACAAAACAGAAGAAAACAGTGAAGAAAACAGCAGTGAACAAAAGAGAAAACAGTGAACAAAACAGAAGAAAACAGTGAAGAAAACAACAGTGAACACAACGGGAGAGAACAAGATTGAACAAAATAACAAGAGGAGAAAAATAAAGAGTAGCAGTAGTAATAAGAGCAGTTAGTACTCACGGGGGGGAGAGTACGATCTTGATCTTGAACGGAACGATCGTCGCTGAGTACCACCTCTATGGTATGGTGACTGTGATCGTCGACGACTACCATAACCCCCAGTGTACCTGCCACCGCCGCCACCACCGCCACCTCCGCCGCCACCGCCACCACGTCTTCCATAACCAGAACTGAAATAAACATTAACATTACTATTTAACTCAACACTATGTGGGTCAGTATACAGGCTGGGCCTGCTTTACAGTGCCCCCTTTTATGTGGGTCAGTATACAGGCTGGGCCTGCTTTACAGTGCCTCCCTTTTATGTGGGTCAGTATACAGGCTGGGCCTGCTTTACAGTGCCTCCCTTTTATGTGGGTCAGTATACAGGCTGGGCCTGCTTTACAGTGCCTCCCTTTTATGTGGGTCAGTATACAGGCTGGGCTTGCTTTACAGTGCCCCCTTTTATGTGGGTCAGTATACAGGCTGGGCCTGCTTTACAGTGCCTCCCTTTTATGTGGGTCAGTATACAGGCTGGGCCTGCTTTACAGTGCCTCCTTTTATGTGGGTCAGTATACAGGCTGGGCCTGCTTTACAGTGCCCCCTTTTATGTGGGTCAGTATACAGGCTGGGCCTGCTTTACAGTGCCCCCTTTTATGTGGGTCAGTATACAGGCTGGGCCTGCTTTACAGTGCCTCCCTTTTATGTGGGTCAGTATACAGGCTGGGCCTGCTTTACAGTGCCTCCCTTTTATGTGGGTCAGTATACAGGATGGGCTTGCTTTACAGTGCCCCCTTTTATGTGGGTCAGTATACAGGATGGGCTTGCTTTACAGTGCCCCCTATATGGGTCAGTATACAGGATGGGCTTGCTTTACAGTGCCCCCTTTTATGTGGGTCAGTATACAGGATGGGCTTGCTTTACAGTGCCCCCTTTTATGTGGGTCAGTATACAGGATGGGCTTGCTTTACAGTGCCCCCTTTTATGTGGGTCAGTATACAGGCTGGGCCTGCTTTACAGTGCCCCCTTTTATGTGGGTCAGTATACAGGCTGGGCCTGCTTTACAGTGCCCCCTTTTATGTGGGTCAGTATACAGGATGGGCTTGCTTTACAGTGCCCCTTTTATGTGGGTCAGTATACAGGATGGGCTTGCTTTACAGTGCCCCCTTTTATGTGGGTCAGTATACAGGCTGGGCCTGCTTTACAGTGCCTCCCTTTTATGTGGGTCAGTATACAGGCTGGGCCTGCTTTACAGTGCCCCCTTTTATGTGGGTCAGTATACAGGCTGGGCCTGCTTTACAGTGCCTCCCTTTTATGTGGGTCAGTATACAGGATGGGCCTGCTTTACAGTGTACCCTTTTATGTGGGTCAGTATACAGGATGGGCTTGCTTTACAGTGCCCCCTTTTATATGGGTCAGTATACAGGATGGGCTTGCTTTACAGTGCCCCCTTTTATGTGGGTCAGTATACAGGATGGGCTTGCTTTACAGTGCCCCCTTTTATGTGGGTCAGTATACAGGATGGGCTTGCTTTACAGTGCCCCCTTTTATGTGGGTCAGTATACAGGCTGGGCCTGCTTTACAGTGCCCCCTTTTATGTGGGTCAGTATACAGGCTGGGCCTGCTTTACAGTGCCCCCTTTTATGTGGGTCAGTATACAGGATGGGCTTGCTTTACAGTGCCCCCTTTTATGTGGGTCAGTATACAGGATGGGCTTGCTTTACAGTGCCCCCTTTTATGTGGGTCAGTATACAGGCTGGGCCTGCTTTACAGTGCCTCCCTTTTATGTGGGTCAGTATACAGGCTGGGCCTGCTTTACAGTGCCCCCTTTTATGTGGGTCAGTATACAGGATGGGCTTGCTTTACAGTGCCCCCTTTTATGTGGGTCAGTATACAGGATGGGCTTGCTTTACAGTGCCACCTTTTATGTGGGTCAGTATACAGGCTGGGCCTGCTTTACAGTGCCTCCCCTTTATGTGGGTCAGTAGACTGACAGGTCCCACTTTACAGCACCCTGCTTTTATGTGGGTCAGTATACAGGTGGATCCTGCTTTACAGTGTTTCACTAATACAACAGTTTACAATTATAATCATCTTTCATTTATTCAGACTTGCTACAATAAATATATTAAACAATCACTATAAGCTAAGGATAAAAATATTATAAGGTAAGTAACATGTGTACTATATATATATTTTTAGGCCTAACTCTATTGCTCACTTAACTCCTTAACGGTCCAAACGTATACATGCGTTCTTACCGCTAGCACCCCAAACGAATATGTATATACGTTTTATTTTTCCTGCGTCCAAATTTGGCACGGCTGGCCTGAGATGCCTGGTCAGCATAGAATGGGTCTTAACACTCAGTGTGCAACATATTAAAAAAATCTGGGACCACTTAGTACCTTGTGGTAGCACCAGTTAAACTGAGAGCCAGCTCAAGGAAACAGTGTAGCAAACACCAAGGATTCACTGAGGTAATGTCATATTAACACTCCTCTTTTAAGAGGAAAGTGATGTTAACCTCAAGTTTAGGGTCTGTCTACCTCTGTATCTATCTCTGTCTATCTGTCTCAAAGGTACACACAAATACAATTATACATAGTGTAAATTACCGAGGATAACCTAAAAAATCCAAAGTGCTATACTGTGCTTGTAGATATAATGCATAAGAATACCTGTTGGTTCACAGTGGCTCTCTCTGAGACAGAAAGAGAGACAAGCAGAGAGACGGAAAGAGACAAGCAGACAGAGAGACAGATAATCAGAGACATATGAGCTCATCAAATGTCACCCCTTATCTCTGCACCTTCTCTGGCACCCATCAAATGTCATCTCATATCTCATCTTATCACTGCCCTCCCGGATCCTTGTCACTGACACTTGTCTTACACATTGCTTCCAGGGAACTTCTTCATTCTTCTTCCTTCTTTTTCTTCTATACTCCCGTGTATCCAAAATATTGCTGGGGCCTATAAATACATTGTATATATTCCTAGACATTAGTAAATGACCAAGGCAGGTGTTATGTCCACCTGTCAGTGTGTTTGTGAAAATTTGAGTACAATTTCAGTACCTAATATTAGTGTCAGAACAAAGACTGGTTATGAAATGCAAAGAACTACAATAAATTGTAATTATCAGAACATAAAACTTGTATAAAATAACATAAAAATGAGAAAAAATGGTACATCGACAACATTTCCTCAGGCGGCAGGACTGGATGTTGCCGTCAGCTTAGCATTAAGTGCCAACTCTGCAGCCTCATATCTCAGTAAGTACTGACTCTATTTTTTTTAATTTAATCCTATAACACTTAGGAAATTTTTCTCTATTTCGATGAAAAAAAAATGTTTTTTTTTTTTATTTTTCAAAATATTCAGGGCACTGGGCAAGAGAACGTATATATACGTTTGGACCGTTTAGGGGTGAAAATTGATAACACATTTTATCTGGCTTTTGTGTGCATTTATAAGTAAAAAAAGGCTGTGTTTCCCTTTACAGTAGTAGCCCCAACCTGCTGTATAAGTGGGGCCCTCCTTTACAGCAGTATCCCAGACTCTAGCCTGCTGTATAAGTGGGGCCCTCCTGTACAGCAGTATCCCAGACTCTAGCCTGCTGTATAAGTGGGGCCCTCCTGTACAGCAGTATCCCAGACTCTAGCCTGCTGTATAAGTGGGGCCCTCCTGTATAGCAGTAGCCTGGAACATAACCTGCTGTATTAGTGGGGCCCTCCTGTATAGCAGTAGCCTGGAACCTAACCTGCTGTATAAGTGGGGCCCTCCTGTACAGCAGTAGTCCAGAACCTAACCTGCTGTATAAGCAGGGCCCTCCTGTACAACAATAGTTCAGAACCTAACCTGCTGTATAAGCAGGGCCCTGCTTATACAGCAGGCATGCAGGGAGTGTAGCATGGAGGGAGGGAGTGTAGCATGGAGGGAGGGAGTGTAGCATGGAGGGAGGGAGTGCAGCAGGGAGGCAAGGAGTGTAGCAGGCATGCAGGGAAGTAACCCCAGAAAGGGCTTTGATACTTGAAGACCTTATGGAGGGGGATTTCCCTTCCAAACAATCAGACCTCCCTCCCTCTTCCTCCCTGTCTTCCATAAGCCAACAAGAGTATTCAATAAAGGTATGTAATAGTGATTTAAATGTTCATTTATTTATTTTATTTAGTTCTCATTGTTTTGTGTATGTAAAACTACAATTAATCTTTTAAAAATGTATTTTTTTTATATTTTTGGGTGTCTGGAACAGATTAATTGTATTTACATTAATTCTTATGGGAAATATTGCTTCGAATTTAGGCCATTTCGAATTCAGGCCGACCTTCTGGAAAGGATTACGGCCGATATTCGAGGTTCCACTGTACTACTGCTCTGTCAAGTGGGTGTAAAACAGAAGCCTGTAATTGTTTTACATGATGGTAGGATTCCCATCTTGCTACTTCTACTTACACTTAGGTCACTCTAAACATGCATGTACAAGCATATATATATATACAGGTCGGCCATCACAAATCTGTTAATCAGTTATTCGGTTCTATCAGTTATTCGGTACTAATTTCGGCTAGCATAATTTCAAATTTCCAGGGTCGCCACACCAACCTACTGCTATGGTGGCGCTACTTGCTGCATGAGTCATTCCAATTTCTTTGTCTCCATTTATTGTTAAAACCTGCTTACTTTTAGCCCTAGCCATGGTTCCAACGAATAAAAGAAATGCTTCTCGTTGTGTAGAGTACATACACAGTACAGGTCAGCCATCACTAATCTGGTTCCATTAGTGATCCGGCACTAATTTCGGCTTGCATAATTTCAAATTTCATCAATATACTGACTCAGAAATTGTGCAGATGGTTGTAAATCCACAGCAACAAGCCAGTGGAGGAGAAAGCAGTGATGAAAATGAGGAAGATGTAGCAGAAAGTCTCTATTGATAGGTTAACCCTTTCAGGGTCTGTGCCATAGATCTACGGCTTTACGTTCAGGGTCCAAACCGTAGATCTACGTCATGAGCTCAGCTCACTCTGATAAGCTGTGAGCAGTAAATTTGGGCCTAGATATGAGAGAATACATCTATGTGGTATGTGTGCACCACATAAAACAAATCCTGCAGCACACAGTGCATAATAAGAGAAAAAAAAAAAGAGACTAATTTTCGATTAAAACAGCGACTTAGCAGTGTTTTT